CTTGCCGGCCTAAACAATGGAAGGATTGTAATTCTATGGTTTTGCCATGCAAAAGCTGCAGACGCGATGTGCAGCTCATGGCTCAATGCAGACAATCCGCTCTTGCAGGACTTCGTGCTGTGACAAGACGGCTCAAGTACGAGATGACCGCGTATTGGCTGGATAGGGCACATGCAGAATTGTGCGAAATAGGCGGAGTCCGCATGTACCACGACCAGTTCCACTTCTATGACAGTGAGCGAGGCGTTGGGAAACCGATCAGCAAGGCGGTATTGAAGCTTGGCATGATTGGCCTAGTGATTTGACATTTGGAGTTATAAAGTGCTTTTGGGTTGAATTGTCTGGTCTAGTTCTTACTTAAAGCTGGTAACATCTTACAAGTACTTACCTGCCCAGCTTGCTGTGGGACCATCTCCTACTCGATCTGGCTAGGTTTCTATTTAGTATCCTTCGCACAACCCTGATGCCCTTTTGGGGGTTCTCCTTCTTGAGGCAGAACCGTATGAACAAGGGTACCGTCTTCTTTGACGGGGATATTGAGGAACCTGGTATGTCTTTATAAATAAATATAAATATAAATAAATATATATATATATATATAAATATAAATATAAATAAATAAATATATGTACATATATATATATTCATTTAATTATTTAGTTATACATACATATATACATATATATGTATTTTTTATAGAACCCTTGTCGAACCCGCAGAAACCGCTGTAGAGCCTTTCTAGAACATGTAAAACCCATTAAACCTTTCCAGAACCCTCATAGCAGCCCCTAAAGCTTTAGTTTTGAAGGGGGGTACTGGGTAAACTGCTAGAAAAACCTTTTATCGCATCGCTGACAACGCGGTAGAGCACCTAAACCCTAAACCCCTAAACCCCTAATCCCTAACCCTAAACCCTAATTCCCTAAATCCCTAAACCCTAATCCCCTAAACCCCTAAAGCCCCTAAAAGGGGTTACTGGGGTAGCCTAGGCTTTCTTGCACGCAGGCAGGGGAACTTCGCTGTGGCAAAGCACTTAGTGGAGGCACCTCCCGGCTTCCGTCTATATAAACCCCTTCGGGGTTTAGGGTCTAAGGTTTAGGGTTTAAGGTTTAGGGTTTAGGGTTTAAGGTTTAGGGCTTGTGGTTTAAGGTTTAGGGTTTAAGGTTTAGGGTTTAGGGTTTAGGGTTTCGATTTCAGGAATAGGGCTGAGGGCCTAGAGCCTTGGGAAGAGCCAAGAAGTATTAGATCCCTTAAGCGGTTCCTGTGAAGCACCCTTTGGGAGTGTAGGGTTTAAAGTTTAGGGTTTAGGGGGTTAGGGTTTTAGGTTTAGGGTTTAGGGGTGGAGGGTCTGGCATTAGGGAGATCTATTTTTTCGACCTCCCCGGGGTTTCTGGGTTAGGGCAGGCTTTGCAATTGAGGCTACAGTAGAAGCCCAAAAGTTGGAAACCCAATATCCTCAATCCTTAATACTAATGTATAGGGAATCCCAGCACTATTTGGCCTTAACCCGGTTTCCAACTTTTTGGGGGCTACTATAGATATAGAGGGGTTCCGGGTTTTTTCACTGGTGTTCAGGGTTGGAGATTGGAGTGGAGCGTTTGGGGGTTCAGGCATCGGTCTTGCGGATTCTGGACAGTAGGGTTTGGGCGTCTAGGATTTAAGGGCCATGGGGTCAAAGCGAGGCTTCATGGTGTACACGGCACCGATGTGCACGTAGATGATGCCGAGTATGCTTTATAAGGGAGGATCGCATGCCAGTTGGTCGAACCCAAAAAGATAGAAGTCAGTGATTCTAGGACATTTTCAGGTGGCTAGTTACCGTTATAGGAGCCTATATACCTTATAGAAGCCTTATGGAAGCCCTATATACCCTAAACTCTCCACCTGTAGTTTCCTGTAATTGACGGGATCATTTACAACTGAGCGAGCAGGGAGTATCCAGTGTGGCTTTGCAGAACCGGGTCTGCATGCATGTACCAGGCCGCCTAACAAGACTCGCTTAGGGTTTAGGGTTTAGGGTTTCCCGGGTAGAGACATCGAAGCTAAGCCGTGCAATCGTGAAGGACTTGGAGGCCAAATACACGGGTTCGCTTACACCTGGGCTGCATTCGAGGATTATGCGTTTCGTTAGTTCGACGGTTGCCACTACTAATCAATTTAGTTGTCGAAGTTCCGAGTCATGTGGCAAGTGTTTCGTGTTGGTTGTCTCTGTACGTCTTTGTGTCTGATTGCAAGATTGCTACGGCACATCTTTCGGCTGGGACTGTAAACCTTGCAGAACTATATCTATCCGGTTTTCAAGTTTGGGGTCAAACAGATCATGCAGGGTTGATAGAGAGCAGAGCCGTAATCTAGTACCAATGGTAGTGCAACCAGACTTGAGGCAGGGGCAGACAAAGACCAGCGCGACCGGGATGGATGCACTGCATTGTGACCTGGCTGGAGCTATTCGTCTTACCTAGCCAGCCGCAGATTTCTCAATTTACCCTAAATAAACCGTCCATGGTTGGTATTTATTTGCAAGGGGGTTTTGAGTCTTCGGGGCCCAGCGTTTGAGCAAAGAGCAGTGTGATTTAGTAAAACCCTGAAACCTAAACCCTAAACCCTAACCCTTGTTAGCTGAGCTTCAGGGCTTGAAAACCCTGAACCCTCCATCGCATGTTAAGCAACTTGAAGTTCCAATCCCTTCACCCTAAACCCTAAACTTACCCCTAAACCCTAGGGTTAAGCATTCAGAGGCCATGGGAAACCCCAGAAGGTCCCTTTTAATTAAGGGCGAATACGGGGCATGGTACTAAGGATCGTGCACGGGTGTTGTTAAGGAGGGGCTTTAGGGCACTTAGGGTTTAGGGTTTAAATTTTCTTGGTTTATGCGATGATGTAGGAGCACGACAAAACGCAATCAAAAGTACAGCAAAGGGCCTTCCAGCAGCCCCCCCCTAAACCCTAAACCCTGAACCTACTATTGGGCCTCGACCAGAAAGCAGACCGAAACTCCCGAAAGGCTATCCCACCATTGTTCGGCGGAAGAAAAGCCTTTGCTTGGGGACTCTGGCTTCCAGATCTTTTCAGGGCTCTGGGTAGTGGGCTCTACGTACGGGCAATGCCTATAAACCCTAACCCCTAAACCCTAAACCCTAACCCCTAACCCCTAAGCCCTACACCCCTAAACCCCTACACCCCTAAACCTAAAACCCTAAAACCCTACACCCCTAAACCCTAAACCCCTAAACCCTTAAACCCATCCCCGAAAGCAGACGCCAGGGATCAGTAGCAACTCGAGGCCGCCAGCCTTAGATCCAGAGTTCCCTTAGACTAGGTTCTTGTTAAGGGATTTAGTTCAAGTTACCAGAATACAAAAACCCTATTATTTACTTTAGATCCCTGTTATGGTAACTTAAACCCTAAACCCTAAACCCCTAAACCCTGGTATGATAACTTAAATTTGATCCCTTACCAAGAGCCCAGCAATGGCCGCTTCCGAAACGGCATGCTATAGGGTTTAGGGTTCATGGCATCGCTTAGGGAATTGTTCCTTGCCCTGCGACACGAAGCCCTTCCTCAATTGCGCAACACCCTCAGCCACTACTCGCCATCTAAAAAGTAGATTCCCTAATTTGGGACCCTATACTACTGAGGGGTACTTTAAAGGAATCCCCTTAGGGGATCTATTTTTTAGATCCTTCCGGTGGTCTGGGCTTCAAAGCCCTGACAGCTGACCCGACTCCAACATGCCCAGAAAGCTCCTGTACAGAATCCTCGCATAAAAGGTTCAGGGTTTAGAGTTTAGGGGTTTAGGGTTTAGGGTTAAAGCCATGCAAAGGGCCCTGGAAACCTTAAGCCCTAAACCCCTACGAAAGCTCATAGAGGAGCCCTTTGAAGAGGAACCCTTCCATCAACATTAACATTAACAAGAAACCCCTAAACCCTGAACCCTAAACCCTAAACAAGAACCCGCAAAAAATATTAGGTTTATGGTAGGTCAAAGTAAACGCTGGCAGTGAAAGCTTGGAGCCCAAGAGCCTCCCCAGGTGCTATGCGGCACTGCATGGTCAGAGGCAAGTCGTTTCTTGGCTGCTGAGTTGTATAGACTACGGTTTAGGGTTTTGGGGTTTAGGGTTTAGGGTTGATAGACTTTGAATATTTTTTTCAGGGTTTAGGGCGAAGCTTTAAGTGTTTTTGAGTTTAGGGAGTTCAGGGGTCGAGGGTTCAGAGCTTAAGAACCAGTTAACAGTTTTAGGGTTTAGGGCTTAACTTTTTTTTGAGCCATGTCACAGTGTTTCATGGTTTGGCGAAATCTGTTATACATGTGCTTCTCACGGTTTCAGGATTTTGGGTGTAACGTGTTGGATGATACAACTGCCTTCAACCCCCTATATCTAGGACATTTTCCGGTGGGTACTTACCGTTACAGGAGCCTTATAGAAGGTCTATATACCTTATAGACGCCTGTCCATCGTCACGATTTAGAGGTTCCTCATTGGGGTTCAACCCCTCGCCAGATGCCATGTTGGTGTTCTGGAGGTGCAGGTAACGTAGAGTTACAGCGAGGCGCAATCGAACATGGGCTTACACAAGGCGATCGAATTTTCACTCAGAAAGAAGCTGTGCTGATGCTCAAGCTGTACATGCTTCCCTTAAGCTAGCTTCTTAAAGTCAACTCCTAAGGTTGTCCTATACATGTCCTTTTGTTCTGTACATACATGTGCCAATCGGCCTGCTGTGACGCCATCGTGGCTTACTGTTTTGGAGCTCGGCTCCCGTTGGCTCAGCCTCGGGCTTGAGTCCGATACAGCATGCGAAAGGCAAAGGTTTTCTCTACACTCCTCCTTAGTCGAATTGCTCCCGGCGAGCACGAGACTACTATCTTAATCCCCTTTGCCTCAATGTCATCAAGCAGTAACGGCAAAAGGTCCTCCTATTGGTGTTGGGGACAGTGCGTAGTACGTGACAGTCCGGGAACAGATGCATCACACCAGGTGTGCGTGCACTGCTGGTTATCATCTCGAGTTCACATAGCTGTACATCAGACAGACCCGGAGGTCCATCTGTTTGAACTCCAATTTCACGTGATCCTTGAAAGGTTCCCCGGTTCCGAACTGAACTAGCCCTACCCTGCGTATTCGGAGGTGGTGGCGGAGGATCAGGAATCGGGGGAGTCGGTGGACGGACCAAAGTCCAGGTTGGTCGATGCTGCGACGACGAGGAGGTAGGTTCGGCAGTTGGCGGTGTGCTCACATGAACGGTCACCTGCTGTGACGCCGGAGGGTTCGGAGGAGGTAGCGAGGGAGTGTGGACTCCTTCAAGTCCAGCTCCTTCGACGGTGCCTTCAGAGACTCCACTATCCCCAGCCTCTCGCTCTATAGCCCTCCGAATTGCTTCCTGCCTCCTAGACCTTCTGGCTTCAACTTCGGTAGGTCTAACCGCTGCTACCTGAAACTCTGCGCTAGGCTGACGTATGCATTGTCTCAAACAGTGCTTTCCCAACTCCCATATGAAGAGGACAGAACAAGCCATCATAACGACTATCACATACAAATCCAAATCCACATGGTCGTTATCTTCCTCCTCCTGGGATGAAGCGGGCTGCAGCTGTAACATTAGCAAGGCCAGCACTAAGATCATGCCCTGTCCTTCGGGACTGGACTCCAAGCTCCTTAACGAGCGCGAGGCCGCAGCTACAGTTTGGATACTTGGGTCTTTAAGTTCAGGGAGACCAATACCTAGCATTCCATTCAGAAGCTCTAATCGAGGAGCGGGTAACGCTTTAGTAAGTATATCAGCAAGCTGGACTTCGCCTGGGCAGTGCTTAACAGATAGCTGTCCATTTTCTATCATTTCTGTTAGGAAGCTTGCTCTCACTCTTAAGTGGCGGGTGCGCTGTGAGCCTCCCCCCTCTGCTAAGGTGATAGCGGCGGTGTTATCAACCCTCAAGGTGATGTCGAGGTGCTCCCCAGACACCTCACTGGCTAGAGCTTGCACGGATTGAGCTAACACCACGCCTTCGCAGGCGGCGATGAGCTCACACTCTGCTGTGCTCAAACTGACAAGACTCTGGCGACGAGATTTCCAGAACACACAGCGGCCTGATAGTTGCACTGTTATGCCGGATATAGACCTTTCTCCGTATGGAGCAAACGATGCATCTGTGAAGACCTGCAGGCCGGCGGTGTCGTCGGGAGTCAGTGATAATCGCATGCTTCTCGTATTTGCGAGATAAGCCAGGATCCTCAGGCCGACTTTGGTTACGAAAGCTGGAGCCTTCATGGTCCAACTAGACATGAGACCAACGCCAAAAGCGATATCCACACGCGTGCGCTGAGACACCCACAACAACTCTCCAGTTATGCGCTGCGCCCCTTGTAAGGTCTCATCAGTAAAACCGATCTCTTCGATCGGTGCTTCTCTTATCCATTCCTTGGGCACAGGCACGTTGGAACGACACGATCGCGAGAGGTCATGACTGCGTACAAGCTCGTCGATGTATCCTTCTTGCGCCAGGCTAAAGCCGCAGGGACCATGCTCATCTCTCTCCTCGTATATATCAATGCCGAGGAACCTTAGAGCTTTATCTTCTCCGGCCTTTTCGAGGTCGGAGCACTGCCATCTTTGTTTCACCCACTCGTGAAAAGCCTTGGCGGTCTGCCACATAGACACAACCAACAGATCGTCGACATATACGAGTACATGTCCAATGACGGTATTGCCTGAGACAATGATCTGCCATAAGTTCTCGTCGCTGGCGGTTTTCTGCAACCTGGCTTGTCCTTCAGAGGTGGCAAACGACGCGGTCAAGAGCATATCATCACGATATCTTGCCCACCATTTAGGTGCTTCTTTAAATCCGTATAAGGCCTTCCCTACTTCCCATATTTCGTCACTGTGGGCTATACCTAGTAGACACAGAATTGCGGGAGGTCTTAACCCATATCGGCGGGTACTGGTTTTAGGGATTGGGGCGAGCAGAAAGGCGTTCTTGATGTCTGTAGACCACGCTGAGTGCCTAGACTTGCCAGATCTTACAAGCAACGTTCGTAGCGTTTCCGCTGCCGCTCCGGAGGCATATAGAATGTCTTCCGACACTCCCTTGGCGTAGTTACCGCAGCTTACAATCCTCACTTTCCTACGGAAAGGGTTTCCGGGCTTACCTGGCTTAACCGTGAACATGCACTTTGCAGGCAGGATTTCGATGTTGGGATCCTGCACCAGTTGACGTGCCTTAGCTCCACGGTGCCTAATTATCGCCTGCATGCTCACTAAGGAATTCAGCTCATCCCTTGCAGCCTCTACCCACTTATCAAGATGTCTTCGAACCTCAGAAGGAGATACTTGATGAACTACCTCAAGGGGACCCGATAGCTCGGCTAGTAGTTCTTCAACGTTCGGCGTGAACGAGTTTTCTACTACCTTAGATGCAATGGGAGACTCAGCTAAATGGGCTGCCTCGGCAGACACGGCAGTCATCACCGAAGGAAACTTAACCCCGATCTGGGGTGGTCCATTGTTAGCGTTAAATACTTCCTCTGGAGTTACTCGGCAAGCTTGGGGATCTAGAACCTTAGGGGTAACCGGCCGCGGGCTACACCGCTCAGGGCTAGAGGAAGGTCCTGATTGAACCATTCTAATCCTATGATCACCATCTCCAGGCGGATCAAGACCGGGTGGCCTCGGGATTCCGGGTTGTGGTGGTCGATCAGAGGAGCTGGCTGCGCTACGTGATTGAAGCCATGGTGGGGGTTCTACCTGGGGCGGCATAGTAGATTGCAACCATGGTGGGTCTTCATATGAATCATCATCATCATCATCAGTGCGTGCTGCGCACGCGCTTGCCTGAGCTAAATAATCACGTCTGGTGACAGAGGCACTGCCTGGTGCAGTTCGCTGAGCAACACTAGAGCTACTAGCGCTACCTCCGGTCGTCCATTCAGTTTCCCAGCCTTCGCATGGCGAGGCGTTTCCAATCTGGTCTTGCTCTCCACCAGAAGCGTTGTTGGTGCTGGGAACCCATTCGTCTTCCCAGTACCCATGATAGTATGGCTCGGGCGCCGTTACTTCAGGCGGAAGCTCCTCCTGAACCTCTGGGCATGATGGTAGTTGCTGAACAAGATCCTGGGAGCCTCGAGGTGGTAGTTGGTTTGGGCGCACTCCAAGATTTGGCAATGGAGGATCGGGTCGGGACTGAGCTAAGGTGCGGTTCTGTAGGTACCATGCTATCTGTTGTGAGTCTCTATCGTACAACCTTACTTCACCCGTCTTCAGCCCGCAGTTATTAGGGTTATCTGGACGGCGAGTTCCTGGGGGATGAACCCCAAACATCACCCTTTCCGCCTCCCATGGGGAGAGCCCTAGCTCAATTAAGTCCTCAACGAACAGATAGATCAAGTCTTCTGGTTCATCAACTCCAAGCCGGCGTAGTTCCGAATAAATATACTGAATGTCCCTTTCCCAAAGGAACAAGTTTAAATCTTTGGGGAAGGACTGTCCAGACGGTTGGTTTCTAGATGCTCCCTCGGAAAGATCCCACGCCACTAGGGAGGTGTTGGAGTCGGGCTGTTCGTCAACATTCAATGGTCCTTGCACCTGAGGCGAGGTCAAAGGTTGTGAAGAGTCGCTCACGTACTGCATTGCCTGACTGCTGGACGAGCTATGATCTTGCTCTTGCGACTCACTGGTTGGCCTCTGATTGGCGTCCCCGTGTGGACGCAGGGCCCTTACCTGATGCTCCTCCTGAGCTTTGCTTGGCAGCTCAAACCCATATTCCCTTAATAGGACTTGATCATCCTTGCTTAATTTGTGCACGCCTAGCCGTGAATATCCGACTATCACCCAATCTGGATTCCTCCGCACTGCATGATAGCACCTAGGATCGAATGCTTGCACGCTACTGGTGATTGTCACGACACTGGCGGAATCCCATTGCGGCACAGGTGGGGGCTTAACCTTGGGATCATGAGGTGGGCCTGTCCATAACTCAATAGACCCTGGCACACACAACACGAAGTTCTTAGTACCCCACTCATTCCTAAAATCCCGGTGCATGGGCACGTCGGAGGCGTGCATCAGCAGGAGAGAGGCCCACTCGGCTGGCGAGCTATCTTCCTTTATCTTAGATTTCAGGAACCCGTTAAGGAATTTAGTTAGACTTGGACGCTGCTTACAGAGGGTCGTCACCCCACGCTGACCTCCATGGCAATACGCTCCGATGACGAATCGTCCTTCAAAGTCGCCTCGGCGGTCAGTGGTTGACACCTCCGAACCTTGCAACATTGTCATAACCTCACGGAACTCCTCCTCGGCGAAAGTTCCGGCTCTCCAGTATTTTTCAGCTACGGCTTCAAGGCTTTCGCTGGCATTCTCCTCTTCAACGAACCTCACTGTGGTTTTCTCCCTCAACCTCGTGCTCGGAGTTAATAACTCCGGTGGCTCTTCTACAGCAGGCTCGGAATCCCCTTCAGCTTCCTGTAATGGTGCAGGAGCAGCTTCTTCAAGAATCTTAGGATCAACTATACCGGTCCTGAACCCCTTTGAGGCTACCAAACTCCCTTCGGGGGTTACCAACACGTGTCCTTCAGGAATGGTAAGGTGGGGCGCTCCGTAACGCGCTCGTACCCATCTGGTCAAGAGTTCCTTATTGGCTCCAGGCGGCCTCTTTAACTTGTGCAATACCACCTGACCAAATGCTGGTAAGGGTTCCTGGCCCAGAGTAGCGCGGTTGTAAGACTCAGACGCCCACCTCATTGCCAGAGGCCAGTGCGAAACCGGAAAATCATTTGCGGCAATCAAGGTGCGTGCTCGCGCCTTGAACCAGCCTACCATTCGCTCTGCAAGTCCATTCCCTTGCTTATCAGTAGGAATTGTAGTCTGTAAACGGATCCCTTGGCCTGGTAACCATCGGGATAGCGCGTCGGACGTAAATTCCGTCCCTGGATCACAATGCAGAACTCGAAGTGGATAATGTTGAGTAATTCGCAGTACTAGCTGTTGTATACCGGCGGTTACATCAGCTCCGGACTTAGACTTCAACCCCACAAAGTATCGCAAGGTCACAAGCTCTACTCCGGAAGTTGCATCCTTTAATTCAGCCTCTAGCTTATCGTCGTCAAGGTACTCAAGTTCCCCTTCTACCCCTTCTGCATGCCCTTCAAGCGCGTCTTGAGGCGTGGCCGGTGGAACATCGAGGGCTTTGGCTTCAAGCTTCGGCTCCAATTCCCCGAACAGACCCTCGAACTCTTCTACAGAAAGCTCTGCAAGATCTAAGCCAGGATCTGTCGGTGCATACTCGTCGAGCGAATCAGGCAAGTCCTGGAGAGGGTCGTTGATCCCATCCTTTTCGACTGGTTTCGGCTCGGGGGGTGCGAACTTAACTGCTATCATAGACTTAGGCATTCGAAACACCCCTACTAGGCCAAAGCGCAGGTGTGGATTGCCAGAGACTGATTGCTCGTCGCGTCCTTTCTCAGAGGGCGGCATTGGTCCGAACAGATCAACGGACAGCGTAAAGGCTTGTGGATTTTTTACTTTTCTGTGCTGCACACCTAGACCAGAGCCTTCTACACAAAACTGACAATCTCTCCGATATGGCATATGGCCTCTCATTATGTGTGCCCTCCAAGCTTCCTTATCTTCAGGCTTGAGGGCACTCACTTCGACATCGCTACACCCTTCATCATCACCAGGCAGCATGCCGGATGAGCCTTCTGCCCTTCCTTCTGAAGTTGTTGAAGAGGAAGATGTACTTCGCTCCGACGCGGCAGCAGCTCTACTTATGCCCTCTGAGATTGTTTGATCTAGCTCTTCTAGCCCAGGGCCCCTTACCTTACCATCTAGAGCCTCAACAATCTCTTTCTTAAAACCTAGACACCAACCTGTGCGAATGTCGTGTGACATGTGGATCGGTGGGCTCGGGTCGCCCTTGCGCGGAATTCCTTGCAAGTGGTCGAGGCTTAAGTTTGTGCCTATAATCGTAGGGCGGAGCCAACTGTGACCTAAAGAACCTTGGCAAAAGTCTATTACACGAACCCTAGCCCAATGCTGGAACGTCCTCCATACCTCAGTTTCCCAAAAGGCCTCAGGACTAATTCCGGTCTTGCTGTCCGAGACAGATCCGGCTCTTGTGGAGGGAATCTCCTTGAGGAACGGGATTGCTTGGCCACGGGCGACTGAAGCGAGTGACCATAGAAACAGGTCTTGAACCGCGAGCAAGCTCTCCTTGGTAACGGAGGGATCGGTGGAACTTCCAGCCCACGGGTCCTCGATGGTGCGTGGGGTATCATTCATCTTATTCCAAGTCCTATATGGCGGTGAAGAGAGCACTGCTGATATGCGCCCCTGTGCTGCGGCCCAAAGTAAGACGGACCAGGGCCCGGCTTCGACGCAAAGATCCCAGCCTCTTCCACCACGTTCTCTTAGGTCTATTGCTAGGTACTCAAGGTTTCGCTCTTGTGCCCATAGTTTCAACGGATCACCCTCAGTTAAGGGGCCTGAGCAGAGTGACACTATCCATCCTCTTGAGGCATGAAGTGATCTCCTCCGCGATCTACTCAGTGGAAGACGCTTCAATATCTCCCAGCCATCCTTATCAGAAACTCCAGGTAACTCCTCACACAGTCTCACTTTAACGGCTTCCGGAATTTGCTTCAAATACGGTTGTGCGAAGGCTGCCCTTAGCAGGTGATCGCGGCTACCTGAGACTACAAACTTATTGAGAGTGTCCGTTGGGTCCTTGGGGGCGGAGATTTGCTGTAGCTCTGCTTGCATGGCTTGTACACTTTGTTCAAAGTCCTTCAGCTTCTGGGACTCGAGTTCAGCAATGAGCCTCAGAGCTTGGTCCTCTTGCATGTAAGGGCAAGTGTTGCCTGACACTCCTACCCTAAGCGGCCCTAACCTGGGGTGCGACACCTTAAGACCCTTATGTTTGCTCCATGAGACTTTGCAGCCTAAAGTTTGGACAAGGGCTCCTAAAGGAAGGATGGTTTGTAGCTTCGAGTTATTCGACTCTTCGGCGGAAGGGGGAACTACCAAGGTTCCACCACTAGTCTTAAACCACTCTTCTTTGGAATCCCCTGCCAACGTCACGCCAACCCTCTCTAAGTTACCTAGTCCTTCCGTATAAGGCACAACGGCATGGGTAGCACCACTGTCGAGCAACGCTTTCACACCTGCTTCAAATTCCTCAGCGGGCTTAGAATCCTTGGATACTAAACTAATCATACGAACCTCATGCTCCTGTGCCATTGCACGAAGTGAGTCGATCTGCGCATTTAACGACTCTAGTGTCACAGGGGTGCCTTGAGTTACACCCGTGCTGCCTGCGAACCCTTGTGCAGCTGGAGGCGCCCCTGGGCTGATAGGGACTGCTTGTTGCACGGCTCCGGATGGAGCATACTGCACTGGAACTGCCTGTTGCAATATCTGTGCGGCATCAGACAGCATCGTTTTAATTTGTTGTTGGGACACTTCCTTTGGTGGCGGTGGCGCTCCGGGAACTGTGGAGGGATTATTAGCATTCCCCTTGGGGTGAGCTACATTCTTAGGGGTTGATGGTGGCATCTTATGCTTTGCTTTCTCTTCCCCTTTCATCCCGGCCTTGCACTCAACGGCTCTATGTCCCTTCGCACCACAATTGCGGCACCTTTGCGGTCGCTCGGCGGCTGGTATTGCTTGCCAGTTGTGTACAAAGGTACAGTCGGCGCCCTTTTTACAACCTCCTGGATTCATAAAGAACGTACACGGGGTGCCCCCAGTCGTTTGCCCCTCATTCGAAGCATTGGCCTTGGGAGTGCTGAGATTCTTCGGGTTAGCCTTACCCCCTTTTGGGTTCTTAGGGTTGGGCGGATTATCCTCTACGCCTTTAACCTTAGCATCTGCAGTAGGGGATGTCTCCTTTGGCTTCCCTTGATCTTTAGAGCCGGCACGATGCACAATCGTCTCAAGCTCACCCAGCATTTGAGCATGCAGCTGCTCCACCTTAGTGTCGTCCGGGTTGCTATCTACCTGGAGGGCCGCACGGGTTAGGTTTACTCTAAAGGCCACATCAGGGTTTGCCTGCAACACCACTCTTGTGATCTTTTCCAGCGCCTTAACCCGTAAGGCACTATCAGGGAGGGTCCCACCTAATTCTTTCATCCTATCACAGCAACGCGACCATCTTCTTAGGATATCAGCTGTGTCCTTTACGTTAGTGCCCTGACTGGGGTCTTGGATGTGGCGGAGCCCGATTTCACGCTCAGCGAGGCCTCCTGGAGCATAGATTACGTATCGTCGCGCAACCACAGAGAGGAGCCCGGTGACTCTAGCAGCACTAATTTCTTCACGTACTGGGGTTGGGCATGCTGCTAAGATCATAGTCTCGATTCTCCTAGACACGCGCGCCCATTTCGGCTGGGTAATCTCGTCCGAGGGGATGGGCTTCGACGTCAGCCGTGACACTGCATCGAGTCGAAGATATGCCTTATACCAAGCCCTAGCTTCAGACAGGACTAAGGCCCACAGCTCTTCACTAGTGTCCGACACGTCACTTAATGCTGGGCGACTGGAATGAATCCAATCAGCAAAGTGTAAACACGACTCGGGTCCAACGGCCGGCAAAACAGGGAGAGTATTTACTCCAGGCTTGATGACCTCTTGCCTGGCCTGTTTGGGGCTGCTTGCCAAGTCGGCGACTACACCTTGCAACTGTGCCATTCCAGTAAGCACAACGCTCATGGGATCACTAACATTTGCTTCTCCAGGTCCAGGGCTAGGGGCCTTAGACCTAACATCTAGAGGATCTTCAGGACCAAAGTCCAAAACCCTAGCAGTTGGGTCCTCTGCGGCATTCAGCTGGGCATAGACTACAGTCCCATCTTCAACAGTTCTCTTCGCAAGACTCGGCCTCGAAACACCTGGGGCTTCGGGCGGTAGCACGGGAGGGGAGGTCTGCCTATAGCTCGAGGGTTGTTGCTGAATCATCGGCTCAACAGGAGGAGGTGGAGGTGGTCGTAAGTCCACGGACCGTTGAGGAGGAGAGACTGGTTTAGGTGATGTAACGCCGCCAACCAGATTTCCGAATCCCCTTCCGATCCAATCCAAACCTGAGAACCTTCCTGATCCCGCAAATCTACTCCCTGACTCCCTGCTGTACACTTGCGTTGAAATCTCTTGTCTCAGTGTCCTGTTCTCGGACATTAAAAGTTCTACCCTGGTCCTCAGTTCCCGAGCTTCTTCGTCCCGCTGCAGCATGAATTCACGAACTTGCCTCTTCACTTCGGCTTGGATGTCACTAGATGTAGTTGACGGTGGCTTAACTCCCGAAGATGGAGCTTCAGGCAGATATAAATGAGGAGCCGAAGCTTGCAGTCCGTTGAGACGCTGTAGGGTATGCTCATCGAGTAAAGGTGTAGATGGGCCTTGGGCAGCTCCAGGCAATGGTCCTGGTCGGTCTGGGCTTCCAGATTGTGCCGAAATAAATCCGCCTGTATCACCAGAACGTGACTCTGGCACCGAAGGCCCCGGAACACCATGACCCAGGACAAAGCCTTCGACCGCCGCAGGTATAGCTTGTACAGCTTTGGCCACTCCACCCAGGAAACCTCCTGCAGGCCTGGTCATCCCTTCCTGGGCGGCATGGGCAGAGGTTCCTTGAACTTTTCCCTGAGGTCCCATCAAGAAACCCCGGGCTGAGGCCGACGAAAGAGTCGCGCCCGAAGACGAGGGTAGCTCAGTTTCTGTCAGAACCTGCGCAGTATCTGCCGGTCCAGGCGTAGACTGATCCACATTCAAATCATCCCGCACTAGCTCTGTGGCAGCATTACCTGTCGTCTCGCCATCCATATCATAGGGACCGCGAACAGGAGGTGCAGGTACACCGTTCAGAGTAGTGCTCCTTGTTGGCGAAGTCTGAGGGCCACTTGGCTCATAACCTGTCCATCGTCACGATTTAGAGGTTCCTCATTGGGGTTCAACCCCTCGCCAGATGCCATGTTGGTGTTCTGGAGGTGCAGGTAACGTAGAGTTACAGCGAGGCGCAATCGAACATGGGCTTACACAAGGCGATCGAATTTTCACTCAGAAAGAAGCTGTGCTGATGCTCAAGCTGTACATGCTTCCCTTAAGCTAGCTTCTTAAAGTCAACTCCTAAGGTTGTCCTATACATGTCCTTTTGTTCTGTACATACATGTGCCAATCGGCCTGCTGTGACGCCATCGTGGCTTACTGTTTTGGAGCTCGGCTCCCGTTGGCTCAGCCTCAGGCTTGAGTCCGATACAGCATGCGAAAGGCAAAGGTTTTCTCTACAAAGCCTTATAGAAGCCCTATATACCCTAAACTCCCCACCTGTAGTTTCCTTTGGTTATAATAATAATAAGCCCTGAACCCTGAGCTCGTGAACTCGGCAACTGAGGTTTGGTATCTGATCGATGCCGGCGCAGACAAGGCCAGCAAGTTTTTCGTTCGGTTGATGGTATAAATCTTGCAGTACCCATAATAAGGAA